AATATACTTTACCTATTCTTCATTTGAGGAAGGCTCTGCTCTGACAATTGCTGTCAAGAGGCTATCTGCGTGCTAGACAAATATAAAGAAAGCTTCGGGCCTGATCCTTTTTGTCTCAGATCTGCCTAACTTTGACAGGGAAAGTCTAAGCCACAAAACTGAGGTCTCCAGGTTTACTCTGGATTCACCATGGAGTTCTCATAGAAGGATTTGAACAAACTGCACCTAGAGTGCCATCTCTGCTATGAAACTAGCCTAAGACGTTACGAACATTTGTATGTATACAGACGCACCCCGGGTTACGCAAACCCGACTTACGCAAATCTGAATTTACGGAAAAAGTTCTGTAAGTTTATTTTTTTTTTTTTTTTTTTTGCGTAATGGTCAGGTATACGTTCCCAAGTTATGCAAGTTATGCAAGTCGTTCCTTGCGTAAGTCATGGAGTGTCTGTATTGATCTCTTAACTATGTATAACTCTCTTTTTTCTTTAATTAATAAATCTTGGGTTTAGTTAATAAGGATTGGCTGTAAGCCTGTATTTGGGTGAAATCTGAAGTATTCATTGACCTGGTGTGCAATGTGTCCAGTGTTTTGGGATTGGTAGAACTTCAAGTATGGTGAATAAACTTTTCAGTAATCTCTCACTATATTAGACTTGGCTGTCTGGACGGGAGTTGAAGGCTGGATTACTTGAAGAGCACTGTGTTTTGGCTTCTTGGTAGCCAGTGTGATATTACAGAAGCTGTTTAAGCTACTGACTTGTTGATTCAAATTATAGAATAAACCACCAGTTTTGGGGATTGTCCGCCCTATTTCTTGCAGTTTGCCCTGAGTAAGCATTTTCAGGGTAGCCCCTAAAGGCACCACCATCACACACACTTAAAGCAAGGATACAGTATTGCTGCAAAGATGGAGAAACAAATTCAGCTGTGGTATAAGCAGATGCAACTTCCATTTAAATCAGTAGGGTTTACATTTGCTTATGGCAGGGCTGAGTTTCACTTTTAGCTAATGTCAGAAACTATCTTATTCTCAAAGCAGCTGTGATAATAGCAGCCTCAGCAGAAACTCTTTCTGGATCTTCTTTGCAAACAAGACATAGACATAGGTGCTGGAACTGGTTTAACGTGGTTTTCGTTATATACAGGGTTTACAGTTTGGTTCAATGGCTCTCAGCACCCCCACTATAAAAATTGTTCCAGCACCTCTGGGCATAGAAGACTGTGCTATATCCACTACAGGGATGACTTGGCTCAAAGATGCTGCGCTGTTACCGAGTAGTATTCTCATAAACATGGTGGGATTCTAGAACATCCATGAATCTTGCAGTAAGAGACATGGGGGGATGGCTTAGTGCTCCCTATCTGATTTGGTCCACTGAGCTGTGACGTAGAGCTTGCATTTGCTTGATTGAGCAGATCAGTATAAATGCTGTAGAATTCCATTGTGAACTTATGGTTTATAGCTAATAGTCAGTTGCATGAAGCTAACTTAGATTATAGCTGGCTGCTGGCCTAGATAAAGTTGTGAAGTAGCCACAGGTACTGTGGAAATATTCTCTCTCACAGCATCAGTTCTACTGGATGGCACAAATTACCTCAGAACTGACGGGGTGAGTGACTGAGTCTGGATTAGTGTCCATCATTACCTGCTGAGGCCATTCTGAACTGGCCCATTGCTCCCCTGTCCCACATGACAGCAGAAAAAGGCAAAACTTGAGTGGCAGCCATAGTATGCTCCACCCCTCTATCAAACCCAGGGCTGGGAGGCTTGCTCCCAAATGCAGTGTTGACACATTCACAGAGATCAAACTTTCCAGCATTGTAGACTTTGTAGGAGGTATTCCAGAGGTGGAAGTGGGAAACAGCCATTTGCTGAGAAGTGCTCCTGCAGTGAGCCAACAGAGTTCCTGGTGGAAATCAGCTCAGAAATGAATGCTTGTCCAAGTATTACTTCCCTGCCATACTTCCTACCTACTCATTAGACAGGGAAGGAAAGCCAATGGCAGAATGGCTACTCTGGGGGCTGGGTTGCCAGGAGACAGAGAAAACCAGGGTCTCCAGAGATGGAGTGTCATTTCCCTGTGTGCACTGCTGGGCTACCAGACTGCGCCACTTATTCCCCCTCTACAGGGTCTAAAACCTCTCTCCCTTGAGGGAAGGGTGTAGTGGAAAATATGTGAGGAAATCTTTGCAGAGTTTCAAACATACCTTGTTCACTTCTGTGGCTTTTTCTTCAAGAGGGGGACAATCTGGCCAAAAGTATCCTATGCAAAATCTTGAGGGATATACAAATCCACCATACTTTTAAGTGACAGCACTGTATGGCTCTCTAGGCACTTGCACTGGTATGTAAGTGGTTGTGACACTGACATTGCAACGGATGCTGTATCTTCAGTGAACTGAGGCTTTTATGATTGACTGTTAGTAGAATGTAGCATTCTCTGTGGGCAATCAACCCTACAAATTCTGTCTTCTGATTAAACTTTGTAGACCCACCAGATTTGATAACAGAGACTGAGGTAGAATACTGAGATCTATTGTGGCTAGCCATATCAATCAGTCCAATTTAATTTCCTCAGGGGACATGGACCATGCCTGGGATGATGGATTTTCTTGAAGACCTGATAAGCCTGCTTTGAGAGAACATCTCAAGGGCTTGTAGAGAACAGGCTATTATCAATACTGATGAATGTTTCCTTTCATCAAAAATTAAGGTCTCATTAGTAGTCCTTGTAGCAGCTGATGATAATAGATGCTTTCAACAGATGTTACCTTTTTTTTTTTTTTTTTTAGTTATTTACTTGGAGATACTGTCTGCTCTGATTATGAGTTGGCTGTTTTCAGTTGAAAGACTCATTGGCAAAATATGGGTTACAGTTTTTTAATAGGATGTATTATCACAGCCCATCTTATACCACTGCATTCACTGATGAGTCAGTGGTTGCAATTAAAAATGATATTTTAAAGTGATGGGCTCATGCCATCCAATCTTCTTCCAAAATCCAGGGGGATTCAGATCCAGGGTTTTGGCTCAGATCATTACAGAGCTCTAATATTTTATAGCGTTTAGCACAGCTGGTAAGATATTTCCTGTTGTAAACATGGCATGCAAAGCTTCTGCTCAAGATGGAATATTTTTTCAAGCAAGTTTGAAAAAACAATTCATTTGTGAAGAAGTAAATAGCTGCTTCAGACCAGTGTTTCCTCTTCCAGATCAAAAAACATTTCATGTATAACCTTTTTGGTGTGGGTGTCAAGCTATTTACACTGCTACTTAATGTGGGAAATTGGATATATGCTAAGAAAATCTGATTCACTCTAAATTGCTTATGTTAAAATTGATTAGATGAAAACTCCATTTATAATGAAAAATTTCCAAAGTTTTACCACTTTGCAGTGGTGTGTTTCTCTTAGCTAATTGATTGAATCTCTATTTCAGATATAAGAAAGTTATTGTATTTGTTTTGTTTGCCAGAAACAATTTAACACCTGCCCTATTGCTTTTTGTTTACCCTCTGATTTATACACAGAATTAATTCTACTTGTTAATGCACATACTGAAAGTCAGCAGCATGTTGTAGCTCTTATTCAGATGTATAAAGTAAATTCAGAAAATAACTGTGCTTCCAAGCATAGATGAGAATGAAAGGTGACATGCCTGGAAGTTTCGCAGATGACATCCAGGTTGCACAAAATGCAATTTTGGTTAGAGAGCCAAATCCTGTAAACTGCTCAAAGCCCAGTGTGAACAACTCTTGTGACTCTATCATGAGTTTTGTCATATTTGGTGTCTTTCTTCATCTCTCAGCTCCTTGAATCATTTAATTAGGAGAGAAATTCAACTGTCATTCCAAAAAATAAGTTTCTAACCCTGATGCATAGAAGTCTAAAAATGTGAAAGGGTCAGAAACCAGAAGTTAAGTGACATTAACCCAATATTTATTATTTTTAAAATATCTCATGATTTCAAAATAGGATGACCAGATGCCCTGATATTAGGGACTTTGTCTTACATAGGACCCTTTTATCTCTCTCCCCTCCTCCCCCGTCCTGATTTTTTGCACTTGCTATCTTGCTCTCTATTTGAAAACAATCTCATGAGTTTTGGGGGGCCTGATTAATGATTTTTGATTGGTTTGGGTTGTCTGACATTTAGCTGGCAGTTTGTCAAAAGTATATAGATTCTTTAGTTTTATTCAGATTTTGGTTGGAAGTTTTTAAGTTGCTTTTTTCTAAGTATTCCTTATCGGGTTGGCTTATCTTCTTTAGAAATGCATTTTTCATCCATGAGACAAGTTTTTTCCACTAACTCTTACACATTTTGCAAAGGTCCACATACTTCTAAGTTGGTACATAAACAAAAATAATAACAAGGGTTTTTAGCTTGGGCATGTAATATTAATGAGTGGGTTTTGTTTTGCGCTTTATAAATATTAATATTATAATTCATAACCTGTATGATTTAAGACATGAAACTTTAAAACTTAAACTGTGTTTGCAAGAGCAGTTTTGGAAAAGCAACATGATATAAGGAAGCCCAATGATCAGTCTCCCCTGCCCCCCAACATACTCTTTAAGGGTAGGTGCAATGTCATGCCTCCAATAGAGTACATGTCTGTGTGCTGCATGGAGCAGGAACTGGCAGTTGTGCACTGTCGGAACTCTATGGAGCTATAACAGGAGACAAAATAGGTAAACAATAGTAATGTGTTGAGATGCCACCTGCTCTTGTTTATTTGGGATATTTGGTAGGTTGAGCCTATGTTCACTGAACTCCTCGATAAGCACAGGAGCAGGTCTAAAAAAATAGGGCAGTAATGTTGTTTAAAATAAAATTTGCAGACTGCTTTAAAAGCGATGATCTGTCTAACTGATGTCAGCCAATAGTTTGGTTACTGGAATGCTGAACTGTTACACGTTCCTCTTTGTTGCTTGTTGCATGTACCTTCCATTCTTTTGGACAATGATTAATTGTTGTGTCCTTATTGAACTCCTAGGTGCAGAAGTGCTGTATATGAATATGACTGCTTATAATGAAGGTCGCCTTCAATCATCATTCTGGATTGTTGATAAACAGCATGTATATATTGGAAGTGCCAGCTTAGACTGGAGGTCATTGGGACAGGTAATTTTACTGATCAATGAAAAATCATATATACTTTATACTTTTAATGTAGATCTAAACCAAAGAAAACCATAGTAGAAAAATGTAACTTGCTTATTATTTTTAAATATATAACTTTCTTTGGGGTAAGAATAAATAGGTACAATATTGTGGCTATTTTGTCTATATGGAAGACTGTC